TCGGCGTTGAACCATCAATATCTAACCACTAATACCGGATACGTAATAACAACAGACTTGCTAACGAATAAGATCTTTCTAGAATTAAATGTTCAATTATAAGTTAATATTGAAAGTATTTATATACCTAATTAATTTCTTATTTTGTTATCAATTATTTAATAAAACATTCAACCGTAATTGTTATTATTTTATTTCTATAAATATAAGAAAAACGGTTAATTGTTACCAAATAATGATTCAAAATCGGTATGTCCATTGTAAATCGATAGAGCTTTTTGTATGTTATGTACTCATACGCAGGTATTAGGCCTATTATCAATAATCTAAAAATAAATAAATCTAGTCAACATTCCCAATTGAACGGTTTGTTAAAGTTTTTTTCAGCATTTTCTAAAAAAAAATTATTATATCTACATAACCGTATAATATGTTGACATGTTATGTGATCGATTAAATCACAAAACCATTATGGTAATTGAAAAAATAAAGTGGAAATGTATTATTAACACGAAATTAAATCAGAATGCGTGTATTTTTATTTTATTTTAAATATTATGAGTCAGGTGGTCGTCGACGATGGGTTCAATGTATTAATAAGCCCCTTCAGTAGGAGACGTATTTACACGTGCGTGTGATTAATAGGTACGCTTACGTGTACCTACTAGACCCATATCAAACCATATACAATAAACAATAATCGGACAGACAATAAATACCTAACCAGTCCAAAACCAGAATCCGAATTAGTCGTCTAACTGGTCCAAATACCAAAATAATCTCCACGGGGTGAATGAGTATAACAAAATATAGTCACGTACACCAAATTGTCGGTTCTCAAGTGCAAGTATAATAGCATTACGACGGAACGAAGTTTTATCGAATAAGGTCTTTTGAAAGGTATGATTATTATAATCAAATAATTCGATCACCGAATACTGTGGGCTATGTTCGACAGGGCATTTTTTTTTAGCCAAATACGTTTTGAATACGTACATTACCCGAGAAACGGTGCATTGTTTTCATATTTACTTAATAACCGTTAAGATATCAACACAAAAATCGTACCTGAAACAATTTGCACTTGCAAATCCATTGATCATTGCAATCATGTTATTACCTTATGACACCAATTAGAACATAATATTATATGCTATCGAATAATAGTTATACCGAATAATGCCACTACAGCCGTATACAATTGTAAAATAATATGTCGCGTTCAACAAAAATGTTTCAATCACTTTCTTATATTATAATAGGCATAAGTAGGCCCGTTTCGACTTCGCAGAAGGGTTATTACTGTTAAATTGTTATTATAATATAGCGTACAAAAATCAAAACATTCAAAAAAAAAATTACATATTTTTAGATATTTCAGAATTTTTTGATGATCTCCACGAAAACGAAGTACGTCATAATTGTGCATTTCAACAAAATATACACCCATCGATTAGCTACGATTGTTTTTTTTTCAACTTCAAACAGTGTTTTTCACCATAAGACAATAATTAATTCTCACGTGCAACATGCAATAATTAAACGTAATTAATTATTAACTGAATTGTATTTACAGTTACGTGATAAAATAAAAAAAATTATATTGTAATGTTCCACAAAAAACTAATCGGATCTCGACCTCATTTTTGAAAGTGGTTAAATGCGGTTATCGTTCTTAAGCTACATTTAGGTATAATATGAGAACTTGATCTTGAAATATATATTTTTATTAGGACTTTTCAATTAATTGTTTTTTTTATTATTCTTTACCAGAGTGAAAATAACGTTTCCAAGACGTATGTGGTCCATGTGGTTAATGAATTTTCTATGTGTATTTTTGGAGTGACTTTATAATAGCTCATAAGGAATTATGACAGTTTTTAGGAAAATCTCTCCTAATCATTAACATTTCGCTTATAATCTCAAACCAACATCAGCCGTTATTAATAAGTTAAAGGTCAACGCATAATAAATTTCTAAGCCGTTCAATGTAGAATCAATTTTGTAATTCCCTGAAATGTTAATAATAAGAATATGCATTTATACGTGTGGGTGTTTGTGGTGGTGGGTGAACACTGTTCTTCAACGGGTAAAATAATGGACAACAATGAAAATAATCATTGTTTAATATAAGGCGCCCTATTTAACATACACTGGTCCAAGAGGACGTCATACGCCCACTTTTTAAGGGTTATCATGGAGGCAGTTTTAATTAAACGGGTTGCTAAATTCCAAATGTGCAAGTAGATTCCCACTTAATGATGTCAGCACTACTATACATCATAGTGACAGATTTAGCCATGCTTCCGCCCTTTTATTCTTTACAAAAGTTCCTTATTTTAGATTAAAACATTATGGATACGATATATTTATATATATAAACTAACGTCGAAGTACAAACATAATAATATTAACCAATGAATCCACTATTGTTAAACAAGTATTCGATCGTCGTCGGTTTTGTGATCAGGTCGTTAAATGTTTACGTAACCGCGTAAGAATTGTAAAATATTTCGATTTTAAAGGATGCAGACTCCTTACCAGAGAGATAACTTATCTCTATCTGAAACGAAAATTAATTTGTCTAATGCCTCTGATTTCGATTTATTTGCATTTTTTTACCGGAATGTTTGACACGATACTTCAAAATATACAAATGTATAACTTTTAACATATTTCTAATAAAATTACGAAAACAATGAAAATTATAAATATAAATACACATTTTGATTGAATGAGTCTAATTCATTTTTTTGAAAATCAAATTAAGTACTATTATAATAAAAATAAATTAAATAAAATAATTATATATTAATGAGTATGTATTACGCTCTGGGTTTCTATAACGTATTATACAGTTTATAGGTTGTACGTATATTTTTGAATGCGCCTTTTTTAGAGTTTGGAAGCCACAAATGCATTTTTTGTAAGTTACGGTAATTTAAATCCCAGCTCTATAATAGTTTTAATCAATAATTTTAAAGAATAATAATAATAATAATTAATATTATTAGAATTTGTATAATTATTATTATTATTATATAACCCAAGCAGCTATTTCACTACAGGTAGATGGATTATTTAACAATTTGGTTTAAATGAGAAAAACCTGAAAGTGTCAAGGGCAACCCTAGAAAGATTTGATAACATATATATGAGCTTAGAAATATAGATTTATTATGTAGAATTTGAAGTAAATATTCTTAATTTAAAACACGTGCTTTCATATTATTTGTAGGATAGGATTGAAAACTTCTAAGAATAATATTTATTCAAATTTTATTTTTCAGAACATAAAGAGATATTGAATTGTATATTTTAAATAAAATTAAAATAATAGTTGACTGCAGTCTAAAATCATAAATAGGAATGGAAATTACGAGTATGTATTGAGTAAATCAAAAAATGAAAATGTATCAAACAACTTTTAATATAATAAAATAATTACATAATATCCCACTTAATCTATATTTATTCATCTCCCCTCACAAAAATAGGCCTAAATATGCTATAAAAGTTAAGACATTTATTTAACTTAATATAGGTAAGTACTTATATTTTTTAAAGTTATAAAATATAATTTTTGAAAAATCTCCTAAAAATTCTAAGGTCTCAGACATATAAAATAACAATACAACATACATTAGGTAATAAAAAAAAATAAATATATTGATTTAAAATAATAATCAACATTGGTGGGAGAGCGGGACAATAGTCCCAATCCTCCCTCACTGTTTCTTAGTCTTAGACTATGGTTACTATGGATGCGAATTCTGACGAAAATGTGTTTTGACGAGTACGTCCGAAATCCTCGTTAAAGCACAAGATGGTTCCACTGTGCGGGTTTTCTGATATTCTGACAGTACGTTTCTGTCATCCAGCAAAAATGAACGAACTTGATGAATTTATGTTCTCGAAAGTCCGTTAATGAAGTTATCATTGTTAAATGGTGGAAAAACAGAGCAAGTTAAACAGTTATTTTGTAGAAGAGACGAAAAAATATCTCTGTTGCAATAATTTTTTTGTCTCATGTCCCACGAACACCTGTTCTCGTACACGAGACTCATTAATTTATCGAAATCCATGATTCAAATAAATTAATATATTAATAAATTTTATAATAATTGTATAATTAATAAAATTTGCTAATCTCAATCACGTCGAAATAGACGCAGTTCGCACGAAAAAATCAAACTTATTTGAACGCTCAACTGTTTCTGACGATACCCAGAGGCGGATCTGGGGGGGGGGGGTTTAGGGGAACAATTGACCCACAGTTAATATTTGTTGATAAAATTGGCCTTTTGGAAATTTTTTCTCTTTTTAGACCTTGATTTGGACTCTTGGACAATTGGCCCATCAGAGTTACTTGAAAAATGAATGTCATGTATATTCAAAATTTAAAATTTTTCAATTCATAATTTATATTTTAAATTATATCGTTTTAGTAGAAATTTAAATAAATCATATTTTATTCCGTACATTTATTGCGCTGATAAAATTAGATTATAATTATTAATCGTAAATAAGTCATTATCGGTGGTATCACTAATTCTAAAATGTATTATGTACACTTTTATGAGCATATTTTTTTTTTTTTTCAAGATATTAATTTCTAATTCAGTTTCATCTCTAATAAATGACCTCTTGAAATGGCTTGACCCACAGTTCCCCGACTCTGGATCCACCTCTGAGGATATTGTGAATGTTCTGACGTAATCGTCGCTGCCAATGTAAACACTCTCATTAGAAAATACGTGTTTGTTTGTTTGGACGAATCCGTCAGAACTCGTCATAATTCGCATACATAGTAACCATAGCCTTAATCGTTCGCCGAAGAAGAAAATCCAAAATTATTGCTGTGGAAGACATTGCGAACCAAGAAGTTGCAGTGTAGTACCAAACGAAAACGATCGGGTACGCTGTTGGCTACCCTGCTACAACCGATTGGATGTAGTATTTTGTGGTTATATTGTGCTAACATGTCTTGAATGTTATGATTTTGATAATAAAGTAAATTCAAAATACATTTATTGCGATTTGCGATATTGACTGTTATTTTGTTTGAATATTAATCGTCCATATATTCGATATTATGACAGTTTTATTATATTATATCGGAATTTATTAACGATTAACTATGACTTCTTTTAAAAAATCATTTGTGAAACCTTTCGCTCGTCCCAGCGACTCGTACACCGTCGAAGATTCTTATTGGAAGAAATTAACCGTAAGTAGAAGGAAACGTTTCAAACGTATTTTCGTTTCATCTAATAAACAAAAGAAAATGTTTTCCTACCCATTTCTAGAGTCCAGTGCTGGTTAAAGAATTCGGACCGATTGATTATGTAAATTTCTCACGACGTGCACCTTATCATTTTGCAGTTTCGTGTTCAGCGCGGGTAAGTGTTCAGCTAGCTGGATACCTGATTTTAATTGTATATTTTAACACCGTTATTTGTTTTACAGGTGCAAGTCTACAACCCGGTGACCAAAGTAGTCACGAAAAATCTAAACAAGTTCAAAGAGGCTGCTTATGGTGCAACATTCCGTGCCGACGGTCATTTACTATGTGCTGGTGGCGAAGAATCAGTTGTGAGGCTGTTTGAGGTCAATACAAAGTCTATGCTGAGACAGTTTAGAGGACATAAAGCGTAAGCTTGTGTTTTTGTGGTTAAAATATTTCTCCACTGCATATTGAATTTTTTTTGGTTTAGAGCTGTCCACCGCACATTTTTCACCAAAGATGGACATCATATCGCAAGTTTTTCAGATGACAAAACAGTGTCTCTTTGGGATATAAGTAGTCAAAATATTAGTGGTCACTATGAAGGTTATCATACGGTAATATTATCATAAGTAATCCTAAGGTTTTTCAATATTAATAAATTATTGTAAATTTATTATTATAGGACTATATTAGAGCTGGATGTGTCTCTCCAATTTCTGAAAATATAGTTGTTTCTGGAGGTTATGATAAAAAAATTAATATGTTTGATTCAAGAACCAAATCTGTTACTATGTCAGTTGACCACGAAGCACCTGTTGAAAGTCTAATGTTTCTACCTTCTGGTAGCTTACTTATATCAGCTGGTAATTCAGTTTTAATCTATGGAATTTAATCTTGACTTTTATACTGATATAAAGCAGTTATCAAATTTACCCAAATTAATTAATTTCTTATATTATTTGTCTTATAGGTGGTACTGAAGTTCGCATATGGGATGTATTAGCTGGTAAATTATTAGCTAAACTAACCCAGAACCATAAGACTGTAACAGCGTTGTGCTTGGCTAAACAGGGTTCAGCTATTGTAACAGCTTCATTGGATAAACATGTTAAAATCTACAATGTATCAACATTCCAACTATCTCATGATATTACTTATCCAAGTGCTGTACTCAGTATTGATATAAGTGTAAGTAATTCGTCTTGTTAAAATTATTAGGATTTGAATTCAATTTTTTCTTTCAACATAAAAAAGGTTTTTTTTTTATTATTTTATTATTTTAAAATATTCTCATCAGATATTCAAATAGTTTCATGACAATTCAATCTATTTTTATTTATTTATTGAGTATTTAACAGTATTCGATTATAGTACATCATTATAAAGTTAATTTTTCCAAAATAACATAAAAGTTTAAATTTTATTGACTTAAATACCTGAAATATTATGAATTGAATTCATTAAGTCATTTTAAGTTTAAGAATGTATCATTGATATTAAAATATAATTTATAATAATTATCTAAAAACTATGTTTTCTAGTTTTAATTATTTAATATTTAATTTAATTCTGAATTAAGGATATTTTTTAAACAAATCTTCATAGGATTAATAGAATAAAACAATATGTTTTAAGTATAGAAGTAAAGAATTTAAAAATATTTCCCTATACAATTTGATATTAATCCGAAAATATTTCTAATACATTATTTATATACAGTTTAAATGTATCAAATTTATGAATATTTTTAGAAAGATGACAAAACAATTGTAGCTGGAACAGTGGATGGTATTGTTAACATAATTAAACGTGATACTGCTATGAAGCATAACATTGAAAATAAAAAGAGGCAAGCAAGGGCTTCAGCAATTGTCTACTCTGATGGCATTGATTTGTCTGTGCCAATAATGCAACCAGATCAAATGAGCAAGTTTGATAATGCTTTAAGGAAGTTTAATTATAAGCAAGCCTTAGATTCAGTCTTGGTTCATGCTGTTGCATTCAAAAAACCTCATGTAACAGTTTATGTGTTTGATGAATTATGCAGGTAAATAATTGATCTTAATATTTATTTTGTTGTGAACTGTCATTTAATATATTAAAGAGTTGTTTAAGTTATAACTGTTATGATTACAAGAAATTAATTACTTAAATTCTTCATTTTTTAGGAGAAACGGATTAGAACAAGCAATTGCCGGTAGAAATTCAAAAGAGTTAGCATTGCTATTGAATTTTGTTATTCGATATATTGGTGTTAGAAAACTATCTAAAACACTGACACATGTAGCCTCAATAATTATTGGTAAGGTATTTATAAATATTAGTTTATTATGAGGTAATAATACTATACATAGTAAATTATTTAATTAGTCTATTGTAAATTCTTTTAATTTTTTATAAATATAATTTTTAAAATCTCTAATTATATGTTAATATGTTTCTAAACGGTTTTTATATACTACTGTTTAAAATTAATATGACTTATTATTATTTTTTTATTAAATCATCCAATTTCATCATAAATCAAAACATATAAATACGTACATTTCTATTTATCTACTATACAACCATTCATTAGTTATGGGCACATAAACACAACTATCAAATACTATTGAAACAATCAATGTGTACAGTTAAATTATGATTTTTAAGATAAGTTCAAAAACTGAATAGTTTTAACTTGGAATACAATTTAATATTTTTCATTAAACTACATCAAATCACATCTATAAAAAAATTCCATAATTTAATATAAATCAATTTCATTGTAAACACCAAGTATAAAAAAATTTTACAAAATAAAAGTACTTTACTTTTGATTAATTTTCAATAGTTAAATAATAATCACTAAATTCTTTTGAACAATAAAATTAGCTGAAATTATTTATTTTGTTTTGTCCATCAATATTTATAATTTATATATTATAATAACAAAATTTTTGTTGTGTTTTAGATTGTTATTGGGATTCATTTGAGGCATGCAGTCTTGAAATTCGTGCTCTATTGACAAAATTACACACTGTTGTTGAGAATGAAATTTTATTAACAAAAAAATTGTTAGCTATTGATGGTTTAGTTAAAATGTTACTTATTAGTTCTGAAGTATTACCTGATACTAATCAGACTCAACTGAATGAGAATAAAGTTGTTGTTAAAAATTAATTGTTTGTGGTGTTTATTTTTTTGAATTTTAACTCTCTTTGAATTACTCATTAACTTACGTTTTTGTTTAAATTTCAAACTTGTGTTTTTAGATTCTACTATCGTTATATTACAATTAAATGAATAGTACATCATAAGTTATTGATACCTTATTTAATCAAATTGAAGAATTATTTAAATCCTTTAAAATATCCAAAAACTTATTAATTGATAGACTATTAAATGAAAAACTAATGTCCTTTTTCTAGTAATAATATGTCTCTTTTTCATATATATTTTGGCAATATTATTGAGAAGGTTCTCATTTAACTATCAAGATTACAAACTCACAACAACTTAAGAATAAAAATCCTCAAATGTGTTAATACTATGGAAATATAGTGAACATTTAATAATGTAGTATTTTTATCAAAGAATTTCAAAAATATGATAACATTTAAATTTGCTATTAAAATCTGAAATCATTATGTATATATTTATATTTATTTATAACGTGTTTAAAAGTATACTAATTGTCTTAGCGTTGCTTGGCAATATTGTGAATTTTTTTTTTTTTTAAGAACCTTTATTTATAAAGCATTAAAGATATTAAATGCATATGTTTAGTTATTGTGTTAACAAAAAGTTGAGAGGTACAATTACAAACTATTGTTTATGATATGTTTGGAATCCAGAAATTAGGACTATAAAAATGGCTAAGAGTGTGACAGAAGGGAAACAAGTGTTGAAGAAACTACTGTTGGTTAATCTTAAATTTTTGTTTTTTACACCAGGAAAATGTATCCAGTGGGTCTATATCATCAGTATTTATGCTAAATCTAACTTTGATTGAACGTGTTTCATAGTGAAATGCATATAGATTTACATTTTTCCAAGACTGGGCATTTTCTCCCATCAAATTTTAAAAGTAGCTCTACAAGGTCAGGTGTCAAATGAAACTGATCTATCCACTACTCTTTTAATATTGAGGAATCAAATGTACAGTTCAAACTTCAATTTTTTTCAAGTTATGGAAACAGTTTTGTTCTCTGAAAAAAAAATCTAAAATTATGTTACTAACTACTTCGTGACAGTCATTTCCCGATAATGAATCATACTTCAATTTCAATAATGTTTTTGGCTTCCGTGAAGTATTATAGTACTATTATACTATTGTTAAGCGATTAAAGCTGCCCACCGAATATATCCAAACACATATTTCAGGCATTATATTTGTTATTGAAATGCTTAACTTTTTCATAGTTAACCGAACAAAAATAATATGAATACATCTCCAAATTGGCTTGAGAATGTCGTAACAATATAATATATGATATTGGACATATTGGATACATGGGCACTTTGATGGTAGTGATCAACACTATTCTGATCAACTCAATCAGTATGAATTTGTTATGAATTCAACGAGTACACTACGGTGCATCGTAGTTAAAATACATGAACACTTAAAACACAAAATTAATTAAAAACGGAAATAAATGTACGATTTATTTTGGATCTTAGCAAATATCCGAAGCTTATACTAACTGTGAATATAAAACTATTAACAATCAACAATTATTTGAAATATTATTAAAAAATCTTGTTTATTACGTGTACAATCTATTCTTGCTACGTAAAATAATAAAAAAAAAATTTTTAATAAACTCAGTTCTTGGTATGCAGCTGCCCGTGTTACGATATATATATAGATATAATATAGATTGGCTACCTCGAAATATTTTTCCATATCCGCCGAAAAACAAGTCTCCAGTGCGCGTTTAAAGAGTACGGATTACTCGTTCGCGCATGTACAAGACCATGGCCAGCAAAACATTCGCGCTGGGGAAGATATTTTCGACTAACAAATTTTCGAAATTCAAACATGACAGGCGAATTGAAATCGTTCAATTTTGTTTGAAAACTTTTTCACGGACGGCGCGCAGTTCACGCACCTGGACGGCCAAGGACCCGCGGAGACGTGTGACCTAAGGCCCGCCGTGGGCCGCCGTCAGATGGGTCGCTGCTACCCAGGATGTGCGGATTACAACGACGGTAATTCATATTAATCCTGTCGAACGAAGTACTAGTATAATGTCCAGTGCCGGCTCAAGGATTTGCGGAGCCTGGTGCGAAATATTTTTTTTTACACGAAAGGGTTATACGAGTACTCCTGGGCTTGTACAAATCGCATAAAATTACTATCGACACCGGGTTTGGTTAATACTATAGTGTCCATTTATATCCGTTTGAATAAAATTCTTAAATTCTCACGGATTTGTTACGGACTACTTATTTACTTTACAAGGCCCGATTTTTATTATACCGATACGATGATCGGCATGACCAAGTTGGATTGGTCAATTTCCAGGGTCTGCTAAATAAATTACCGGAGGTTCAAAAATAGATTTATTTAAATATTGAACATGTGTTGATTGATTATTCAAAGAAATTGTAAATAATTAAGTTTCGACTGAATTTTCGTTTTCTAAAGATATAGACACGTTATTCTGAAGAACGTGATCAGTTGCAGTTACAAATGTGATTTTTGTTTACATATACTTTTTAAACAAACAAAAATTATATAATCTTAACATACTCTTTACGGCTTTATGCACATTAGATTAATAAGTTTTTTAAGATATTTATTGAAGGATCACATATTTCGTTTCAGTGGTGGCGCGAAATATTTTACTTCATGAGTCCTGTTAGGATTTTGCCCATCCACCCACCCACCTAAAAAAAAAATTAAGGGTAGCTTGTAAAAAGAGCTTCCCACTATTCGTTCTACATGCTACATATCAATTGATACTCAATGGTCAATACCACCCACTGACTTGACTCCAGGGACTCAAAAATCTGCTGTCACGCCGCCACTGTCTCGTTTTATATCTTAACAATAAACATTATAAATAAATTATTTAGCGTACTCATATTTAGTACATTTGTAAACTTTACAGTATTGTTGCTCAAAAGTAAAATTAAGTTTTATTTTTTATTTATGTAATTTTTATAAGGTAGGTATAGTGTTGGTGCTTGGGCACAACTCGCTCCTCCCTAAAACCGGCTCTGATATTATAGTTCGGACGATATTATAGTACAGTATTAGGGTCGAAATATTCGCATCAGTTTTAACTCGGTTTATGTACAACAGAAATCACATATGAAATCAATAACATCTCTCTCTCTCAGTGGCGTAGCAAGGGTATGGTGAGGTCCTACGCCAGGGGCATGAATTCGTATTTTTATTCTACAATACAATCAAAATTTTTCCATTATAATTTTTGAAATACGTAGATGTTGTCTATTTGTACACACTACGTGTGACTATAATGATGAAATTATGAAAATAGCACGAGAGCATTTAAATAAAAAATTTCATTTGAAGAAATCATCGATGAATTTGCCAATCATAAAATGAGAAGGAAAATTTTCAAAGTTTAAGAGTAACACTGTAATAATAATTTATAATTATAAATTGTATAATTAAAAAATCAGTAAATTTAAAGGTGAAAAAAAATTATCATAACATTAAATTTTAATTGGTTAAAAAGCATATTTTTCTAAGTTTGACAGAGGCGCTAGTGAGTTTTCCTACGCCACTGATCAGTGGTTGACAACCAGCGGCTCACACGTCTCTTTTATACGACCCCCATTAAATTCCAAAACTAGCAAATTTCATTAAATATCATATCGTTTTTTTTGTACTATCTGTCTCATGAACTCTTTTTAATTTGTGAATGAGGTCAATAAAGGTCGCCGACCACTGACATGAATCATTCGTCTGTTACATGTTAGCTGTATGATATAGTGTTCCAACGTGCGAAAAACCAAAACTATTTGAAACATGGTATGTACAAAATTCAAAATCATAGGTTTATTAATAAATAAATAAATAAATAAAAAAAATACTACAAATATTATGTACAAAAAAAATGTGACTTTGGTAAAATATACTTAAATCTATGAACTAGACCACAATGAGTGAGAGATTTATTCTTATTATTATACGACCAACGACTATATTGTTCCTAATGTATACAAATCAGTGCGGTGCTCAATAAGATCAGTAAGTAGGAACTTTGCACGGTCAAGGCGGTGTTTTGAAACTTGTTCGACAATGCCACACACGCGTCGTTGAACGGTTCCCTGTACGCCGTGAAGTTAGGAAACGCGTACGTGTTCATCATCTGCAAAAATGGTAAAAAAAAGGCCATCATTAGCATCGCCGGAAACCATTAATTATAAAAATATTTTATTGACATAATCAGTTATATCAATCGTGTGATAATTTAGAATACATTGTATCGTTTAGAGACGCGGACGTAGACTCCCCGAAATCGCCATCACCAAAATGGACTATCATGACTGATGCCCATTCATATGACAAATGAGTCCCTGAAATGGTTTAGAGAGGGTGATGGGACGAGGTTAAACAACTATTTCGAGCTGTCTATAAGAAAACATTTACCTAGAAGATAGGCGTATGATATCAAATTACTCTTATTTAATGATTATTTATTTAATCGTTTCACTTTAAATACGTAAACTTTTATTTACGATAGTAATGTTCGTAAAACAAACCGTTATTGTATTTTTAAGACAAGGCACATGAAATCCATTCCTAGCATAGATATTAGATTACGATCAAACAAATGTTGAATTTACTGAAAGCTTTTAGTACTCGTCCTATACGATAATATTTCTTTATGCAAATGGTTCAATAATAAATCGAGCTGTATTAAAGTAATAGAAGCTGTATTTCAACACAGATTTTTTTTCAACTATGAGCGGAAAAGGGAATGAGTTTTTATCCTATTATCCGGGTCTTTTACCCTTATACGAGTAGGTACTTCTATTTTTCATCGAAACGCTGTCAAATATTTTATTCGAATCACGTGCCAATATTATCGTCTACCAGTATTAAATCATGGTTGCGCCACAGCGTGACCCGTGTCTAATTTACCAAAAAATGATGTACAGTATACCGGTGATCAGAATTTCACATGACTGCAATTTTCTCATAATGTTTATGTACGAGTATATAAATGTAAAATACAGAGAAGTTTAAAATAGTGAAATTTTTTCAGTAAAATAGCAAATACAATTTAAAGTTATTTGCGAAAGTTAAAATTTAAACTTAGTATACATAATGTATTGTTACTCTTCTACGGAGATTTTACTGGTCAAATTTTAAAAATAAAAAAAAAAATTCAACTTTTTTTGACCACTATTACATGAACTTGACCAAAATTCGGTTTATGGTTTGAAAACGGACAGGATGAGAACCTACCAGGGCTAATGTATCGTTGTGTAGCCGACAGAACGTCATGTGTTTGCCGTTGTTCAACCGGTTCTCGATGTTCCTGGTCAGCAGGCCGTCTTCCCACGGCAGATTGTCCAGGTGCTGCTGGAACGTTTTGTTCTGGAATTCGACGGGTTCCATGATCTCCAAATCTTTGAATAGGTTCGGCTCGTTGTCATCCTCGATCGTGAACGACGGCTGCTTCATCAGGTACGATATGTGCGCCTGGTTGAGCTCGTCCAACGTCTTCGCGTCGTCGAAAGCTGGCAACGCCACGTGTGTCGCCGGAGCGTGTACGGGCGGTTTCTTGGTTCTACAGCGTGAACGAAAAATATGAGCGCTTCGCAATGACATAAAAATTAATACATTTGATGTAATTGTATGGCGTATTGTTATCCGGGAGCCGAATAATACGATCGCTAATTCCAATTACAGATCAGATTAGGTCAGATGCGTGGCAAGGATTTTAAAATAATGAAAATGTTTTAATTATATATTTAAATACAACTCGAGTGATAGGAAGATTCCTCCACGGAATCATGAAGCCAAATTAATAAATTATACACGTATATAACTTTCAACCCCAGTGTTTAATAAAAACAAAATATCCTACATCGTTGTGAATAATAATAATATCAAATTATACAAAATAAATTCATCCATCTACTACACTATTTGTAATACTTTCGTAGTAACTCAGAGAATTTACAATGTAATAGATTTCAGCTTGAATAATAGGGGAGTTAGAGGTTTAACACTAAATTATGCTTACGTGCTGTCTGCTAGTTTCAAAAAGATTTTTTCCACGCCTTCCATATTGTAATCCAAAAACTGTTGAACACCGAATGTTTCGAAGAAGAACGGTACTGGTGTCATGCTGAAGCAGCTAGCCAACGGCGTTCGCGGGTAGTATGTGACGAACGCCAAACACATTTCCTGTTTGGTCGAATATCCGCCCTGTGAAAAAATCGCGTCGATGTTCATTATTAGGGTGGTACTGGTTTCATAGGCGCAACTAGAGCTCTATTTATGGGTGGACTACATTTTAATGCTATCACTGACTCGTGGGGGCTTCACCCCCATGCCCCCATTATTGATTATCAACACTAATATATTTCTATTTATATTGCTGAGAAGTCCTTACCTGTAATGGTTAATAATTACTTTCAAAGAAGAATTTTTTCACTTACAGACTAGCTACCTAAATAAATTTGAATAAAAAAGGATAAAAATATGTAATTGATAAAATATACAGTTCTGGCTATTAAATATTTATTACAAAATTAAATTAACATTATTTTTCTGTCCTTTTCTGCAAATCTGTTTAAAATATCATCCACATTTACTTTGTTAGTTATATCTCTTTCTATATTCAAAATAGATAAAAATGTAAAGCGATCTTGTGCTATGGAGGATCTTAGCCAATTGTTTATTCGTCTCATTGAAGAAAATGATCTTTCACAAGTGGCTGAACTTATGGGAATAGATAAAGCCACTTGTAACAATTTAAAAAGGTTCGGATATGTTTGTTTTTCAACAACTTCTTTTACATCATTCAAATTGAAATCGTTTACACTTTACTGCGATATAATACAAATTAAAAACACCTTATAATTTATAAACTAAAATTAATTATAATCAAAACTCTCAACGATAACAAGCATTGAGAAACGCAGCCTGCTAAACGAATATCACGGACCACCGTTTTCACTTTTCTTATCTTATTCTAAGACCTTATTCGTCAATACGCATGTTTATTGCTTATGTACAACATTTACGAAACGGGCTAGTTATATACTCTTCGTCCGTGATTAGCGATAAAATGTTCATAAAATGAACCTGGATTATTGATAATTAACCGTAAATAATGAAATGTTTGATAATAATATAATGATAATATTCATATTATTGATAAATTTAAACTTCTAAAGACAATAAACCGTTACACAATACACATAACTAATGAGATTCGGGAATTACACATTACGTTCAAAAACTGGGTAGGCTAAGCCTACCCAAACCCCCCCCCCTATTTGCGCCTATGACTGGTTTGCGCACAAATATCAAAAAGACAACTTATTTGGGCACAAACCAACAACTCGTTTGGGAACAGTCGAGTCGTAATCACACATGGTTTGCGCACAGTTACCTTTTAGACTTTAATAGTTTATACCTTGTATATTAATATTTCTTTATTATTAAAATACTTACATACATTTTCCTTCCCCCTTAACAGACTTGGGACTGTCTATGAATGTATTCATAGGTGTGGTTAAAAATGTATGTTAATTGCTTATTAATAATTGTAATAAATAATATTTAATACTTGTTCAAGTTAAAAATGCATGTTAATTTTAATTTTAATATAATATGATTGAAATATATACGTATAAGATAATATATACGTGTTTATTATTTTTTGCAATAAAAGTTTCCCATTATTTGAATGTATTTAATTTGGTCTATTTCGCCAGATGTATATTTTGTCCATTAGTTTATGCGATGTTCAACTGATTCTACTGACTCCTTACGGTGATAATTATTTATATTTTTGTTGATTGATGTTATTTTTAATTCTGTTTCGCTTTGTATTTTAAGAATTACGCTTATTACCTGGTGTATGTGGGAATGTGGAGTGTAAAATTGTTGGTTAAAATGTCTATGAAATGCTTCTACACCGTTCGTAGTTCGAGGTTCGTCTTTTGGATGTCCTGCCCATAACGTAGGATTACATTTTGAATCGGGAATTTTATATGTTCCAAGAACGTAGTTGGAAATGAAAAATCTGACGTTGGACAATCTGATATTAATTGTGTAAAGGCATCTTTTACTTCTTTTGGAGGTAAATACGGCAAACCAAAAAAACTTTTAAGCCAATTGCCAATATTGGAATTTTTGATATTATACTCAAGTAATAATTGTTTGTTACTTTGAATGTGCCAAAACTAACTTTGAGCTAAATGAAAAGTACAAGTCACAATTTTACAATCGGGATAAAGATTTAGTAAAGCATTGTGTGCGAATATCTCAAAATCTACATGGAACTCTTTAATATTCACTTCTTGGTTAAGCGTATAAACACAAAGATCCTGAATTGTTATCCACATTGTATTATACGTTGCTTACTCTTCAAAAAAATATTATTTTCGTGTGCGCAAACCAGTTGTATATTTAACATAACCGTGTGCGCAAACGAGTTCTGATTTTTCAGGTAAAAATTATGAATTGTGCGCAAACAAGTTGCAGCCCATTATTAATATTGTCGACAAATAATTAATCATTTAGGAAAAAATAACTTCAATACTACACACGTTGCAGTAATTATATAAGTTTTACATTATTTTCGTACAGTGGTCGAACAGAATAATATTTAAAATTTGAAGGACTGATACCTCTAATTTTACCTTGTTCCCCCCACCGACCATAGTTACTCTTACGAAGTAATATTAAAATAAATTATATACACTGACGTGCGTTAACTGCGGACGGTCTTCTGTGTTGTAGACGCATTCCGTGATCAATTCGTCTCCGGGGTATACGGTCACTTCTTTAACCAATTCTCTCGCTTGCTGGTAGTTGTAGTCGTAACGGCCATCCTGTTAATAAAGAACACTATATTATGTTAGTAAGTCAAATAAACGCATTTGTAACAGCTTTTAATCAGGGCTTAAGACCGGTAACCGGTTTGTAAAGAAAACCGATAAAAACCGTAAATTTGAGAACCGAAAACCGATAACCACTTTTAATTTTGGAATGCTGGAAGTGGTTATTGGTTATCGGTAATCAAGGTAAATATCTAAATATTAACATCAAAGCGATAACCTCGTATTTTCAATCCCGGTTTTATAACCAAAACCTATTCCCGACCAAAATAATTAACGGTTTTTTCGTGGTATTAATTACATTACACTATTATAGTTGAATTTAATTTTCCAGCTATTTTTAAATATTTTTCCCCAATTAATAGCCGTCGAGGATTACTTATCTGTTGTGAATATCAGATATATAGGTATAACTATACATTATAAATACCCTCTTAAACGTCGTCGTCGTAGCTGATTCCTATTACGAAATAGTTGGTGGAATAGAGGCTTAGTCCATTTAGTATTTTTGATATTTTAATACTGTAATTTTATTATCTGCTCATCCAGGTTTTGGGTTACTGTATTATATACAATATAACCAAAACAACAACAACAATAACTTACAATATAAGTTCTGTGGCAATGTATCAATCTTAGTGTCATCTTAGAAAATTATTATATTTAATTTCAGTTTTTTACCATTATAAATAAGAAAATTATAACAATAAATTTTTTTTATGCAATTTAGTTTTTTGATTATCATTATCTTGATTATAATATATTTTAAACTTTAAAGCAGTTTGAAAAAATAAATATTGAAATTGAGTGAAATCGACCAATTTAAAGTATATTAAGTTTTTGATTTTGTAATAATAAAAGTTATATTATTAACCCACGAATCACCTAAATAAACTGTTTTAAAAATATGAATAAAAAAATGAAAAATATTTTTTTTAAAAACCAGTTTTAACCGGTAACCGATTACCAAAAAATCTTATTATCAGCTTTTAAACGATTAACGGTTATTATAGTTTTTGAAATATCCTTAAAGAAACGATTACCGGTTACCATAATATCAAAATTAAACGATAACCGATTATCGGCTTTAAAAAATTGTCGACTCCAACCGGGGCCGATTACCAACTTTATTAGGAACGGTTTTAAGCCCTGTTTTTAACACATTAAAGTTGATCAGAATTTCAGCTTTTACTCATATCATATATCACATAAAACATGCGTGCATCTAGTATTTATAGTGAATATATTCTAACTAAGGCCAAAGGGTGATTAAACCCTTTAGCCTTCTCTGAATTTGAGTCAGCATATAAAGTTTGAAATTTTATTTGATAATTTCAACCTGTCAATATATAGTACTTGGCAATGGTAAATTATATGCTACATGCACTATAATTAAAATTATTTCAAATTTATTTGTGCTCATTTATTATGAATAATTAATACAGTCATTAATGTCTTATAAATATGCTGTATTATTACTTGTATTTTATTGTTACTATGCTCTACATACTATTAATTATGTAATATACTTAATGTAATTGTTGTTACTACACTGCTATATTGTGTTGTATAAGCGACAAAAACAAATTAAAAAACTGGCCAATGTTAGAATAAATAACAAAAAGCCGTGTACAATATGCATTTAAAGATCAATGCAATGCTCGAACACAGGACGTAACAGAAAACTTACATTCTGTATACTTTGTAGGTATAGGGTACAGAAATCTTGTCTGACGTGTGCATTTCAGGGTGAAGGAGTACTTATATAATGTATCATAACATAAAATCCTGAAATCTGCTAAAATCGTGATTTCCCCATCGGTGTATGCAAGTGGATCTCTAAAGTACACGTCATCATATCATATTGATTCGTTTTCAAATGTGATATCGTCGGAAAAAAAACAGAGGCAACATAACGCGTTAAACGAAAGCTGCGAGCATTTTTATTCTTTTTACCTGTACGGGAAGAACGTACACAATACATACTACATAAGTAATGTGTTATATTACAATTAAATGGAATTTGCGGAAATATTTATCCGTATACCTACACAAAAAATTAAAAATAAATATTTTTACTTGTGCTTGAAATAATTATTGCAATACTATTTATAATATTTATTCCTACGCCATACAAAAATAATTTTGTTTTCTTTAACGGAGAATGATCGAACCGGCAACAAATGTAAATTATAGACTTTGAGATAAACTATTGCAATCTGTCAGTGGAAATATATATCCGAACAACAAGTAAAAAGTTCGTGTACTCGTATATCTATACTCGAAATACTTATACACGTAGTTATAAGTATAAATAAACGTTTATAAGACGGCAGCAATAAACTCACTTGCGAATCGTACAACAATACCCGTGGACTTCACACACGTAATAAAGCATACGTAGGGTGCACGCGCGCGATGTTAATTAAGTTTAAAAATTAATGACTAATCACAATCGCTTTTTATTAACGCCCCTTACCCCCCTCCTTCGATATCAACAGGTGACCTGTAAGTTTATACTGTTTCCCCACAAAGCTGACAAAAAACAGAGTTTTTTCGTAAAAATTGAAAGAAAAAACCATGTACAACGTGAGATGTCAAAGTGAGAAAATCGAGTCCGTTTTTTTCAGAAGGCGTATCTTAATGAACACAGAGACAACACACGATGCACACGACACCCGATCGATTGCAATAATGGATTTGTACGCGCGCTAATATGAATATCAAACGAAATATCAAACGCTGCGTTCGGTACGCAATGTACGAGATAACTGTAAGCGTTATAATTATTTTTCTCCCATCGAAAAACCTGTAACCAAGTGATCCTTAAGCGTGTGTGCATAATTTACCTGCGCGATGGTAGCCATTTCCTGATCGTGTCGCACGTGCCGAAGCTTGAGCTGCCTGGATGCCAGGTGGGCGTGCAGCAGGACGGAAGTGATTTTAATGCCCCGCTCCGGGAATATGACGTTCGTGCAATCCTTGTCACACAAACTGACCGTCCTGTAGGTCGACTGCCTGGGCGGCACGATGTGCATCGGCGACACGGCCATGCCCACGGCCATGATGCCCGCGTCGTTGGCCCGCAGATGGCCTGTGTAGAACACCCTGACGCCTGAATTGTCCATCACTACACGTCCCCGGGCACAATAAATTACAGCGATTAATACGATTTGATTACAGCTTCTAAGCGTTCTCATAATGTTTAAACATACACTTGAGCGTGCAAAATATCATGAAACGCATTTATCTCACAAACAGCCCCGCTTCAGATAATTTATTTTTATTTTTCTTTTACTATATTTTAATAAAAACAAAACATTCGAGCTAATTTATTTTTATCTCATACACAAATTTACACAATCTCATCCCAACGTGCCCACTGTATATATAAATAGGGCGTTTAACTTTCCGTGTACACGCATATACCATATTATGTATACCGTTTTTCCTCGCACGTACCGCATACACACTTTATTCCACCTTTATTTCTTTACCTTTACTCGTGTTCATATACCGTAATAGAGCAAAAAGTGCATACCTTTCCTGAACGTGGGGTTGTCGTAGTGTACTTCCAACATGTAATACTTGTCACGTCCGTCGATCGGCACTCCTATGTGGTCTGGCAAGAACTGTCCATCCGATCCCATGGCCCACGTGACCACGGGCGACACACACTTGTTCCAGTCCTCCGGCATGGCGTTGCCGTAGCACTGGGCGCCCTTCAGTGTCACGTACTTCTCCATCGAGTCCGGGCCGCCGTCGCACTCGTACAGGATCATGTGGTGGATGAGAGATTGCGTATCGGCGTGCAGCAAGGGCACGAACTGCAACGGAAAAAATAAAGACGTTTGTTATTAAGCATCGTCATTTCTACCTATGAAACGGCAGCACCTTGATAAGCGGGGAAAATATTTAAATATTATTCTATATTACTCTATTCTAACCGATCGTGGAATTTAAATACAACAATCGTCATCCTTCCTCCTCATTAATTTTCATTTGTGTGGTTTTAAAAAAAAAAAAAAAAAATTATGAAGTTACGTAGAGTTAGAAATAGAATCGATCACCACTAGACCAGCAAACGTTTCATTCTCTTTTATCATATTATTATTTTTCGTAGTGTTATAAGTAACTACAGGTATTTTTATAAACTTCATCTTTATTATAATTATCAATTTAAAATCTGTCTATATCATACATGCAACACGTCACACAAAATAACACCCATATACTGCTTTCACTGTACAGATCGATTTAACACGCATCTAATAATCATACACTTCTGCTACTTATTATTATTATTATTCTATATTTTTTTAGCTGAAACGTGATTACTAATACTGCATTAAATTATATTATCATATTTCCTCTCTATCGTTTGCTTGCGATAATTGAAGTTCAGACACTGATAGTATTTGGCCGTTAACGTCTTAAATATTGTAAACTAGTCGATATTATATTGAACTGGTTCGAGAGCAGCGAGACTCGATTGCTATGATTTAGTCGGCACGATTAACATGTGATCGGGATCGTTCCAATGGACATGGATATATTTGTTATAGTTGAATATTGCTTATATTATTTAATTCACACTGTAAGAATTAATCAAATGACATGGACTAATGAGTGTTAATATATAAAATATTATGCGTAAAATGTATAATCCTAATATTTACTCCCATAGTTCCACCTTTACCTGTTTGGTATTTTAAACGATGATATTAGGTATATACCAAAATATAATACAATATGGTTAGTAATCTACCAATAATACATAGTAAAAGTGCGATTCCTAAGGATGCGTTTGTAGACGCGTGACCGACTTCGTGCGACTTAAATTTTTGCGGCGCGACTAAATAGGTATTCCGTACAACTTCAAAACGGTTTCTTATATAGGTATATAATTTTGTGGCTTCGCAACACAATGATGTCACAGACAAATATTGAAACAGCACTAAATCAATTTCGATTCCTTACACAGTAATTAAATACCTACACTGATGTATTTGATTTGGACTTCAACTGAATATCCATTTAAAGCATAGAATCTTCTTCAAATGTAAAAATTTGTTTTGAAGACATTTCAAAATTATATTGATTTTATAATTTATGTTGAATTAATAAATCAATATTTTTAAATTAGATCAACAAGTCAACGATGATTGGTCGCGAACCTTATATGTATATATTATACAAATGTTTTAAATTTAATATTTAATAAGTAAAAAAAACTCACCCCAACAATATGATTTTTCATGTTGATCTTGGGAGCTCTGAAGATTTTGCACCAATACAAAGTGTCGATGTTGTCTTTAAGATGCATCTGAAGAGGTTGAATAAAAAAAATGGTTAATTAACACAAAAATTGTATACGTTTGAACTTTATGTACAGGTTTCCAACGAAGATATACCGTTGCGGTATTTCCTGATATAATTGGAATAATAAATTTCTGTTTTTTTTCTATAACTCATGAGATATTAAATTTTAACTTTTTATTTTCATTAACGACAATATTTTTTTTATTTTTTTTTTGTGAATAATAATAATGAATTAAACATAATAGTATTTTGGATTTTCGATATTATTTTACCTCGTCTATATTGTCATCTTATAGTTTCAAAATAACCTTATGGTACACTATATATTTTTTTAAAATTATAACAAATAAAAAAATTTAAATATCCTGAGTAAAATAAAAATAAAAATTTAAACGTCAAAATTTATAAAAGAATAAATTTTATAGATTTATAAATTTGAAATCTTCAAACTTTTTAAAATTAAGAAAAATCAAGTAATTTTTAATTTTTACTATGGCACAACAATTTAATTGAAACAGGAATAATTATAATCCATATTCTAAAGTGTTTTATACAAAATTATACAGTTTGACAATCGTTATTATCTTAAAAAATATCGCAACGGGTACATCTTCGTGACTTTGTGTGACACCACCTGTACGTGTATTATTTTAAACAATCAATTACATTGTCCATGGTGACGTCCCATTTTTTGTAGTAATCCGTGTTTGGTCTGAACTTTGGACCTCTGGGATGGAAACTTTGTGAGCCTTTCCAGGAGCTGCCCAATTTCAACGCGTCCGTATACTGTCTGTCGATCGGATCCCGATCACTCGTCGTCCAAAACATTCGCATGGTATCGTTCTATGTCATGAAACACACAAATATTTCGATCATTTCATCACTCAATGTAATTGGCAAGGACATAGTATGACTAGTATGACATAGCACACAGTATGACTATCCGACTAAACAAACATAACAATTCCTCTGAGAATTCTATCCGCGGGTTTCAAAATCTATAACTTATATAAGGTACATAATTATGTGCCTTCGCAACACAATCGTATCACAGTTAAATATTTAAACAGTGCTAAATCAATTTTGATTCCTTACACAGTAAAACAGTACACTGATGTATTCGATTTGGACTTCAATTGAATATCCATTTACAGCTCGACATTTAATGCTATTATCAATCGTACAGAAAAATAATGTACGCATTGTTGTAACTTAAAAACGAATGCTTGACAGTGACGATAATTTTAATTAAATTAATTAATAATATTAATTTCGTTTAATTTCAATCGCTTGAAAGCAACACACATTTACCTGGTAGTAGTTTGAACAAAATTCTGTTAGTATCGATTAAATTCACATATAGTCAATCGATGTTATTCTAGCAGAACGCACATAACCTACAATAGCATTTCGGAATGTATGTTATCATGAGTGGATTTTAATCTAATGTTATAATGTGTAGCGACAGTTTAATAGGTATGTATCCTGATTTGAATCTCAAAGATTAATGCAACTAAAATTTACATAATGATAAAATGTTATGTTTTGTTTACCGAAAAATTATTATTCGACCTATTCAAATTCCGTACGGTTCATAAGTCTGTAAATCACACAATCTAACGGTTGTACGTTTTGTTGATTTACCTATAACCATACGCAGGACTTGTCACAACAAAATAAATGTTTTATTTCTATAATCTACTACACCCTTCACATGTTAACACGTGTTAAGAACGAACAAATCGTTCTCGACGTTTTAAACTATTGTCAACCGCGGAAAGGAAAAAAAACAAATAATTTACAAAGTGGGTACTTTATACGAGCACATATCGTTATACAATGACATTATACATTCGTTTAGAGATATTTGCATTTCGATAAATCCACGTTCACCAGATTATATGCAGGGTATCCCTGATGGTTATCGCGCGCCGTCGAATTCTTTCATTTTTTTTACTCTTGTACTCCACGTCGTCGGTAGATATGTTTGAGATACACACGCGCTTACCGATTTCAATTGAAATACATTCCCGGTTTCACTCAGTAATCAGAATTTGAAATTAAAAAATTCCCACGTTTCTTTGGAATTCGTCAGATGGATTAATATAGATACATTATTTATTTTTTCCTTTGTGCAGGTGGCATTAAACCTTAAAACAAAATTATTACACCACCGTCTTATCCAAATATAACATATCATGCACAATTATTACACATATAACATACAACCGTGTGATTATAATTACGGTGAGGATATCGCGTCATAACAACAATGTTTGATGTTTAACCGAAACGGCAATATTCCACGGAGGTGTTGTTAAACAAACGCGTAAACAAAAGCCGTCCGCGAGATTAGCTGAGAAAACCCGAATTCTCCCAGCGCGTATCCATGCGTATGTACATATACTACAATACTGGACGTGCGGGGAGCTGAGCAATGTTTTCGAAACACTATTGTTTCATTTGCCCCACCCGTCCCTACATTCGAAATTAGATATTGTTATACGAACGGGTATTCGCGTCTAACCGCGCGACAACGTCCGGTCCGCGGCCATTGTGAAAAACCCGCGTTGTTTTCAATATTTCATCAACGGGGTGCGACGACGGTGCACACGATCCGAGCACGTGCTGCGCCCGCGTTACAACCGTGTCGGACGACTCTGGGCGAACACTCGTTTTCGTCTAACAGCGCTCTATTGTTTTGGCACGTAAACGATTGCGATTAGTGTCTATACGCGTACGCGCGCGCTTACGTCCGAACGCGTCCGTTTGTTGCTTTTAACAACAACCCGCGGCGAAGTCAACGACCGGGGACCGCGTACTTTTGCCGAAAATCCGGACAATTGCGTACGCCGGAAGACGTGATCCACGTTTCCTCGACGTTCGACCCCAAAGTATCTTGATTGCATTGATTCCGTGTCCGGGCGTAGTGCGCTGCACGCCTTCGCGGTTTTTACCCTGAGGAATAATTAAATAATGATCGGCGGTAGTGATGTTAAAATGTAACAGTCACTGTTACTTTTCACAGTGATCCAATGAGTAGCAGTAGCAGTGACTGCTACTCATACATAATATAACAGTGATTTTATCACACTGTGATGATATCACAAATCTGTTAAGTTATCTAACTGTGAAAAATATTTAACACTGTGATTCACGGGTCTTAGAAGATATGGTCCGACAACTCTACTTCATCAGTGTTCCGCTTACATAGTCGAAAATGTTTCCAATGTTGTCCACTTTGGGGTAAGGCGCTGGGGTAAAGGTTAGGTGATTTTGAGGTTATGCCGGTATTAAATATTATTAATATTATTAATATTTATATAATAATAATATTAATATAATATTAATATTTAAATATTTAATATCCAGTATCCACATATATATAAAACTACGTTTGTTCATTGTTTTATATATCTGTGGACAAAAATTTTCTTTTACCATTATATTCACTACAGAATTCTCTATTTACGTAATAGTTTCATAAAGTTTTGAGAAACCAATTTTTTCTTCTGAGGTAATATCACAAGTTAGAAGATAATATCATAAAACATTCAACATTACAAAAACACCAATTTAATATAAATTTATTATTTAAAAATGCAATATTAATTTGAAATTTAAGTTTTGCAAAACTTTGCTATTTTCTTGATAGGTAAATTGTCGTATACGCATTCTAACATAATAAATTACTGCAAATTCAAATATATTTTCACCATGTATGGAACAAGGAAAACTTAATGTTTTCTCTGTCATTAAATCTGTAATAACTAGATCAAAAACTTCGGTGTTATGAAAATATTTTTTAAAATTTTCTTCTATTTTTTTTATGAAGTTGAAAAAACCTATGTTGGAGTGAATCAATCACCCTTTTGTTTTCATGTTTACTACTTGATGTACTGGTATATTGAAATTGGACAAAGTTGTACTTTCATTAGCATGTAGCATAACATCATATCTCAACATTCTACATCTTGCTCAAATATTTCTCTGATTTTCGCCTCAATACAAGTGAATAAAATAGTTTTAAAAATAGTTTTGGCGGTATTAAATTTTATTAGATGCGATTATAATTTTAAAATCTCAACATTTCCTAACCTGCAGCACTTTTCCCCAAAGTGGTTAACATAGGAAACGTTTTAACCTTGTTAAGCGGACGTATTCTACTAGGCTGACAGAGGGGAAGTTGTCGGACCTTATCTTCTAAGACCGTGCTGTGATTTATGAAATGGTGATATGCGACTATTGTTAGTTGCTACTTGCTACTATAGTACTATACACTTGTGTGCATTGTGTGGTCACAGTGTAGATAAATTGATGTTAAGACTGTAGGATACTAAAAATAGTGGGAGATGGAAGTAGTTTACTACATAGGGCATGGTTTACTAATAATAAATAATTATAAAATGGATTGAAATATAATGTAATATTTTTATTAATAGATAATATATTTTAGATAAAATAACATTCATTAAAATTACACATATTAAAACATACAAATTCGTGATTTTAGATAGATATTTATTAATATTATAATATTTGTTGATTTATTATACATATATTAATATTATGTCACATATACATTAGGTAAATATTATCTGATATCACAACTAAATAGTAAATAGAGTAGTATTCTAACTCTATGGATTACTGTGATATTCTGATATTGTAAAGCAAACATGTGATTCGCCATAATTACGTGCAAAATAGAAAGTAAAAGTTAGAGTAGCAATCACTGTTATTTTCACTGTGATTTTTTTTTATCACAGCAGCAATATCACAGTGTGATAAATATTTTTCAAAGTTTAACGTCACTAATCGGCGGGGCAACGCGGTTTCTAAAGTGCGCTACGATCTACGAGATAAAAAGGTGTTGTGTTCAACGATGTAATAAGAGCACGATTAATGTAAAAATCGTAATTTAAACCGTAGCACGCGACCTGTCGATGAGTGGTGGACGAAGATGAGGGGATGTGATAAATACCTTTTGGAACGTAGCGTATGTGGACCGCACGACAATTGGATGTCCGTCACGTCACGCGCACCGACCGGAGGAGTACGGTGTCGACATTGCCTACCAGCCGTGTGCCCATAACTCAACCGTCGTCGCGTACATTTCATATATTAATATGTAGATCGAAGGCCGTTGACCGCATCCATTGTTTTAAAAACGATCCGCACACGTCATATGGGTTTCGGGTAACATGGGCGACGGACGAGCGTACGAATATCGTACGTTGTAACGTGCGCGTACCGCAGCCGATGTATTTTTATTATTATTATTATTATTATCATCAGGACGATTCCGTGTTATCGTCGTATTCACATCACGTTCATCGCGGTGCCGTTGCCAAGAAAAAAACGTAAACAGCACAACACAACAACCAAGCCCGTACCGATACTGCCCGCCCACGTTTCGCGACGTTTACCGTCCGACAGAGATATGGGGAATCGATGATACCGTGTTGTGTCCACGTGGCGTTATTCTCTGAACGGATGCACTTATAAGATTGCGTCTCGCGATTGTTGTGCGCGCAAGAATCGCTTCGTATCGCGCTTAACGACCAGATCCTCCGCGAAGACCGACGGTAAATAAATACCGGCGACAGAACGAAATGATACGCGAAGACCGGCGGCCGAAGACGTGGTCACTGCTCGCATTCGCCGCCGTATTCTCGCTGCCTACCGGCTCCGGTGCAGACGATCCCTGGTCGGACGGGATGGCGACCGTGATGTGCGCCGACAGGCCTTGGTCACGGCCGATCCACGTAGACCACGCGCGTATCGTCGACGCACCCTTGGGCTCGGCCGTCCGTCTGTCGTGTCACTACTGCGGCGAAAACAACCCGGTTGATCCTAGGTTTTGGTACACATCACCCAGGTGAGCCGCGCGTAATTCGACAGCAGTAGGCAGGTCCGGCCAAAGCGAACGAGCCCTCGGAGTCCTTCGACTGTTTCTAACTACCGTACCAAACGTCCAGCATAGGTTCCAATACGGATTAATATTAAAAACAATGATCATGATGAGAAAAAAAACCGATTGTCTTAGATTTTTGAGTTCAAAAATGACCTCTGTAGTATCGAAAGAAAGAAATAACGTTTTCGCCAACAGCAAAATTTAAACGTTCCTTAAACGTGCGGTGTCAATATTTTTTAAAGAATATTTGTTTTATTTTTCGAACGCTATAGCTTATTTGCTCACGATTCGGTTAAAGTTTCGTAGATTGATATAATAATATTTTCCTTTCCCGACAAATCAAAGGTTTAAATATTGTTAAGAACAATTGCCTAGGTCTTCAGACTGGATAAGTCTCCACTGCGCATAGTAATTAATGTATAGGGCGTGGTTAGTCGGTTAGTCGGTTAGTCTAGTTGTTTAATTTTATATCAAATTCGCGGAAAAATGCTTGACTTTTAGACATGGTGACGGCGGCCTGCTGCGTTCCACCCGGAAAGAAGTCATGCTGGGCATGGCCGACCCATTGGAATCGAACCGGGTGCATATGACGTTCGATCATTCGTTGGTCATCCGGGACCTGAGGTCGTCCGACTTGGGCCGGTACACTTGTTCCGGTTCCGGGGCGGACGAAAACGTGCAGTTCGCTCTCGACCTGCTTCCGGTGACGGCACCGGAAAGGCTAGTGGCAGCCGAAAACGCATCGGCTGATTCGATGGCCGGATGGACACATTACGAGTCGCAGTACCTGACATCGGTGGCCAAGGGGTATCCACGACAAGTGCAGGAAATGGGTGCCGACTGGGACGCGTGGGGCCCGTGCGACGGATGTACGAGCAAACGGTACCGGAGGGCCGCCTGTCGGGTCCGATTCGTCGATGGCACGCGTGTGGCTTGCAGGTACACGTCGTGCTGTAATATCCGCGGAAAAAAAAACTAATTTCATTTCAATCCAAAAAAAACAATGATGGACTGCATAAAATTCGATGAATTCAATAAAAATGCTAAAAAAAATACGATTTAAAAGTATAACAAAAAAATTTAAAGAAGAATAATCTAAAGATATTGAATTCTATATGATTTATCTGATTTGAATATGGATGTGATGGAAAATTGCTGTAGAATGTTTTTGGAATAAAACGCAAAGAATTGCTCGCTGTGCCTGTCGGCTCCACGCACCGTCACCAGTATAAATATTACTTTTTTTTTAGTACATTATCTGTATTTGACCCGTGTGCAGTTCGATCATTTCTATTTAGGTAGGAAGTTCCTATTTCCAGTCTTACGAAATAAAAAATTTATTATGAATTTCATCTCATGAAGATAATTTTTCACATGAAAAATATCTTCGGGATATTTAGATTATCGATTGAAACGACTATTATTACTCTGAGGCCTATTTTTTATGCCTCGAATCATTTCCTGTATGTTTTTTTTTCCTTCAATTGTGCTTTTTTTCTGTGTCAAATTTATTTTCATAAGTTTCGGCCCAATAATTTCTCCGCTAAGTCAAACGCAGCCCGTATCTCGATGTTCATTCGAATAATATTAACTTACAGATCGGTCGTCGGTTTACCCGCAATCGTTTCACCCGCTTTGGCCGCGGTACTGTCATTGGTCCCTGATTTTACGCTATCCGAGACGTGTTATGCTTTTTGCCAAAATTCCAACAAACACCATTTGCCAAAGTACAGGAACACTTTCGTGCCGGAGGAAGGATCCAGTCTCACGTTGGTGTGCGCCGAAGCGACGACGGACACGAAGGTATAATATTATAACATCTGGTTCGGTGGTCTCATGCGATAGATTTAATAATTTATGCTATATAATTATGTAACACAACAAACTTGAAAACGTGCGAGGAAGTATGAGATGTCACATTGAAACGACATAGCGTTGGACACTTCCGTTTATTATATGTTTACGTAATGTCAATGGCCAACTGAACCCGATATCACGAGGGACTGTATAATCAACGATAATATTATATATTTAATATTCATCCGCATGGTTAATTCATTTTGTAAGATTTATGAGTGTGTTTTGAAGAGCTAAGTTCATGTAGGTTTTCTCCGGCAGGAGTCGCACTCATGCATAATGTGTACATGGCATTATTTATCCACACTCATAAACCGTAGTTATGTCTATTCATAAACCAAAACTGTACAGCAACTCCTAGAGTTAGTTTATGGCCCCAAAGTTATATTTTAATATTTCAGTAATCTTCGAGTCACTTTTATTTTGCGTATCCGTAAAACCCGGTTACTCGTCAGTCAAAGATTAAAATAGAATTTAACTTAATCCAATTTGTTCGTTTACGTCGCGTTTATCACGATTGTCTCATTAACGACAGAGAATATGGATAACAGAAAGTGACATGCATTTTGGTTTTTCTTTTGCTGCTGCGATAACTGCGATATGAGTAATAGGTAGTTAATTACATACATTATTGACCATCGGCGACAAAACTATGTTTCCGGTACGTGAACACTAGGTTTACAACGTTGTCGTGTGGTGCAGGTGACATGGAGGAGGGACGGACTTCTGTTGACCGAATCGGACATGGACGTAGTGTCCGGAGTGCTGCTGGATAAATTCGGTACGTTGAGCTTGGTGCAGGTCACGGCCGGCGATTCCGGCAATTACACGTGTTACGTTGACGGGCACCGGATGCAAGAGGTAATGGTGGCCGTCCGCAAGTCGTCGGTGCTCGGGTCGGAGGAGTTCGTTCGACACACGGGCTACTTGTTCTTCGTGTTCGGGCTGAACTTCGTCGTTTTCGTCGTTCGGATTTACTACGCTCTGCTGGACCGCCACGCGTTCGTCGAGATCACGGAAGACGACGTTTTGAAAGAGGCTGACGAAATCCCCATCGCTTACTTGGGGAAAACAATACGAGTCCGTTAAATATCGTCACATCGCTCGTCACAATAACAACTATACATGCCTACGCACGTACATCATATGCGTGTGTGTGTGCGTGTCGTGTCACTCTCATTTTGTTCATTTATTAACCCTTTGTAGACCAACATTAAATGGTGATAGAAATTTGATTTTTTTTTTGCACCTTTATAAATTATTATTTTTTTGATGAATTTAGAAATTAAGAAATTTGAAATTGGAGGTTTTTTAATATTTTTTTAAGGAGTGGGACAAATAAGTCCCATTGGTCATTTAAGGACTATACTTAAAAGTCCCTATGGTCCGTTACGACACTACTATTTTCTTATTCCCTATGATAAATAAGTAATAATTAGTTAAAATTTAATTAATTAATTAATTAAAAATATAATGACCATTTAAATATGTATATAATTCATGTTTCAAATTAACAACAATATAAACTTAAAGAAAATAGTTATAGTATCAAAAACTAAATGGTCAATTTTTTTATATAGCAGACTAATATTAAGAACATTGAGTGGTTACTATGTTTAATATTATAAATGTTCAATTCATAATTTATCATATAATAAGACTTTTATTAAAAACGTATAAACATAATAGTAATGTACAAAAAAAATAAAAAAAATAATATCATAATTATAATATTAAAAATGAACACATTATTTTGAATGATATTCATTAAAACATGGTTTCTTTTCATTTAAACATAAAAAAATATTACAAGTAGAACATTTAGTATATGGTTTAGATTCTATATTATTTTTGCTGCACACTTCACATCTACCTCTCGTTTTACTAAATTGTAACCAGTGGGCCCCTAAGTTCCATAACCTCACATCTGAAGTTGTTGAAAACAACTGTTTGCCCCTTCTTGGTTGTAGACATGGTCTACCTATTGAAGTCCCTGGAGATATATCCGTTGTTCTTTTTAGGCCACATTTACCTTGTGTTATTAGTCCTTGGGCAACTGCTCTTCGAAACTGAAGAACAGTTAATTTTGATTCACTAAGCTTGTTATTAATAACAAATTAATTGACAAATATAATATCAATAACACCCCAAAACAATCTATGCCACCATTTTTTTGATTTATATCTTCGATCTCACGATCGTTTAATTTTGTAAATTTATTCATTTCACCAATTAAATAAATTAAAAAAATTAACGAGTAAATAATAATTAATAAATGAACAAACAACACTCAAGAGCGAAAAAAATAGCATGCGTATAAACAATATACTTGGCGCGCGAGTGCTTGACTAAGAATATTCGTCAAAACTATAAAAATGTCGCAACAGACCATAGGGACTTCAAAGTCCGTTGTGATTATTGTCAATAAACACATATTTATACACAATAATAATGATATTCAATGGTACGTTCTGTTTCTCGGGATTATAACGAAAAGAATAATAATAAAACCCATTGCTTATCTATACTGGTTCGCGCTGTGGCTATTTATATAAATATCGATATTTATTTTATGGGCTAAACTATATTTATTTTATTATGTGATATATTTTACGCCATCTATTGATTTCACAGAAAATTTTCGGGAACATTATTGATTAAAAATGGAGTGACTTATAAGTCACTATGGTCAGATAGTACTTAATTTATTTTACCTATGTTTAAATGGATAAAATACACAGCGGACTCAAAAGTCCCGTTGGTCGGCAAAGGGTTAAGATTACAATATTTGTTCCGAGATTCAAATCGTTCGTATAACCATAACCCTGTCCAGGTATTCGTTCCTATTGCTCGGTCATCCAACGGTCTACCTAGTGGCGGGTACCGATTTAGAGGAGATTTAATTTCGGATTTCGGTGCGCGTTGAACGGTTTAACGGTTATAATTTTCTGCGCCTACACTGTTGATTCTGTACTCATTAATTAATTAATATTATTTTTTTTATTCCGTAAAAATTGTTCAACGTTGGCGCGCACACGTAGTACATAATAAGCAGTACACACACACTGTTACTGCGTTACAACAACAGTTAAAAATAGAACCCGCGTGTCGGGTGGCGAAGTATAGGTAAGAACGATCGCATAAAATGCCTCTAATTATATTACGAAACATCGCGCATTATACACGTTCGGTTCGGTATTTTATCCGACGAAATCGCCGGACAGTCCTATGTCAACGAATTCCCATTAGTCTTCTTTAAGCGTTTTGTCGTTTTCACAAACCATTATTTTAATTTTGTTTTGACGTAGCAACCGGTTTCTGTACGCAGACCCGTAAACCCTCGTAGTACATCTTATATACCTACCGCTTGTAATTAATTAACATTCGATTCGACCGCTGGTGCTTAAAGAAATACAACAGGTTTACCATACATACCCCAAATACCACGTCATCGTGTTCGTCGCAGGTGTCCCAGGCCCTTCGGAAGACGGCGGATACGTGAGAGCCGTTTTGGGAGGAAGCCAGTAACTCGTAGTCCTGGCTCACATCCTTTTCCGGTGTCAAGCCTGTATCGGTTTTGCCGTGCATATCCTGTGTAATAAAAAAAAAACACATACACATGCATTCATTAATATGACGCATTTAAAAGAAAATATTTAATTAGTATAATATAAATATATAATAGTAATATAGGTTTACGTTTATAATTAGACTAATAAAACACTGTCATGTTAATAAACGATACTATGGTACTCTGTACAGCAACGAATGACGATGTATCAGTCCAAGTCATTAAAATCACCATCATAAATGATAACTAAGAGTTAAGACTAACATCAAAATGAAATAGGAAAGAAAAAATATTATTTATTATTTATAGCTCTTACCAAGATTTGATAATAATACACTTGTTTAATCGGGGAATTATTATTGTGTATTATAAAGATTAAAAATATATTTGTCATAAATTGAATTAATAATACCTAAACTCTAATTCATTTGTTTTGATTGACAAAAACATTTAGAAATCAATACGCCTACCTTTGTCAAAGTTCACGTTCGCTTCAATTCAAAGTTAGAAAATTAAAGACATTCTATTAGGTCATATTACTTAGACTTATGATATAAACCATGTGGTATTATTATACACCAATTTGATACCACTAATTAAATATAAACATATTTAATTTATAATAATACTTGTAATGTTGTCTGTAATATTGATTCGATGGTTGTAACAAATAATTTATACGAATAACATATGCTACTTAATACTTATAATTATATTTAATAATACGACAAGACGTGAATGAAATGCGAACAAAAACCGAATCTTCACGGTCAGAAAACCACGAGGTTTGAGCAACAGGTGTATTTGGACATGTGATAGTTATTTTCAACGAATTGTTTTCTACTTCTACGAATTGTACTACGTATTTCATTAATATTATACATGAACAACCAATAAATAAATTTCGTTCATTCATTATTTATCTAATTACACGAGTGATTTTTATAAAAATACGTAATATGATTTGAAAAAATTAATCATGATATCAAATTGCTTTATTATCATTATTGCTTCAGCCTCGGTTAAAAGTTCATTATAGTGAATTTAGTGATTTCAGTCTCTTATAAAAACGATTTATAACAAATGTATATAAAAAGAAATTTGAGTTGTCTTATAAACAATACTGATGTGTCAAAACCATCCCTTATACTATGTTTAAATTGTTTCATTTTTTCTTACTAGCCGTAGGAATCTATTTGTTTGATTTGGAATTAAAGAAAATAAAGCATTAAATCGATCAGAAATGAGTTTGCCGTGAATACGGATAAAAAAATCAAAATACATGAGTAATTATACAAAAGCGTATTATTAATAAAAACGATCAGAGTTATTATGGCACACATGTAAAAATTGCGTTGATTTTATTATGGTACTTATATATACTTTACCACAATATGGAGTAGATATTTAATAATAAAAGATTTTCACAGCCCAGCCCCGATGTTTTTATGAGGAATTCTATCACGGAGATTTCTGTTTTCAAATCAAGTTACGCGGAAAAAAGGATTAACTTTAAGTGAAATTCCTTTAAGTCGTACAATAAAATAAAGATGTGTGTTCTATCTAAGCTATACGTCTACCACCTGAACCAAAAAGTAATATAAAAAAATAAATCACCGAATTCAAAACAATAATGAAATTATATTATTTTTCTCACGAGAAAAAGACCCCAGGTATTGTAAAGTGATCGAAACAACCTCGTGGGAACTGTAGGGTTCGGAATATACGGAAACCAGTTATATATGTATATATATATATATATATAAATGTGCGTATTGAAAGGGATCACCGGAGAATTGTGCTTATTTACATTGACAAACACGCGTACATAGAGCAGTTAATAGTACCTACATATTTGCTGCTGCGTATACGGTCATTTTCGATCAGATAAAGGTGGACTTGATAATAATTATCATACAAATTATTAGATTTTATACAAACATTTGAGTCCATGAAAACGATTTTTTTGTCTTTGAAACATAATAAATTGTTGAACTCTGCGTCTTCGTAAGTCGTTTTCTGTTATAACCTCGCCGTAGTAGTATAACGATTACCAATGATAATTTATTTAAAACGAGATTCACATGATACCTGCATACGTAGATACTATATAAACCGTAGGTGTTGCCTTTATTATGTATTCAAACTCTTTAATCTAGAGTTTTCGTAGTGTCCATTGTAAAAATAAATAAATAAAAAAAAAACAATAGTCCATAAGTACTGCTTGCGTAACGTTAGTAAAATATTCGAGTGAATATCATACAGTGATTTTCAAAATATTTTAGCTTTTTTATTTTAACGTCAAAGTTAATGAAAAAGTGTACTCCTCTAAATATATGGTTTATCAAGCACATAAATAAACAAATCGAAACGTTGTGGTGAAAAAAGTTTATTAAAAGTAATAGATATATGTGAACGTAGTTTTAGAGTCTTAGATTGCACGGTGTTCGGGTTTTTTGGAACATTTATTTAGAGATCCAACGGAACGACATGCAGGAGAACGGTTTCAAGCAGGTGGACTCGATATAATAGACCATTGCTTCTCAACCTTCAGGTTACGAGCTCATAGATGGCCATCAGTATATTACGGGAAGAAAAGGGGCAAACATTTATGAAAAACAATTTGATTTTAGTATACTCGTATGCAGCAAATAAATAATAATTCCCTTTATTTCAAAGATATTGTTGGTAAATAAATCTTACATCTTATGCGTTAACGGTTTCACATTAACTAAGAGGGTAACTTAGCAAAAGAAGTTTGAGAAGTACTGTAAAAGATGAATGTTGTCGTAATACAACCATACACGATAAGGTCTCAACGCGAACGCTTCGCTGCGAACTAAGTTCGTCAAAATAATAATAATATTATACCCGCGAGTGTATTGTAACATTCAAATGGTCCTAAAATGGTGAAACGAAAACGAGGTTTAACGTGATAATAATACAATAATGTAACAATTAAATTAGTTTTGACCGACCAAAAAAACAAAAATTACCGGACGTGACTATACTATACATATATATACATATTACTACGAAGCAACACAACACCTGCAGCCGCCGATGTTCCACGAGACTGGCGCGTGCCCTTTTCACGACCGCCATTAATACACCGTGACAGAAAAATGAGTAGTTTTTTTCTTCTTTTTTTAATAACAATTGTAATAAATAATAATTTAGAACCTAACATCCACCGGGGCCCGGTGGAAACGATGTGCAGACCGTTAATAGTCCACCCCTATGCGCCATCACAGCACACGCGTCATGACCGAACCCGGCTTCATGCACTTACATATGTTAAGTTATAAAATAGTAGGCAGAGGTTGAGCAGGTATCGCGATCATTTCCGGAAACGTGACAATAGCTACAGATACGCCTATAACATTATGTGTTGTATTCATACGAGTTACGCCCCTTGGAACGCGTCCCATTTTCATATCGAAAAAAGTAGTCCGGAAGCAATTTGTATATTTATATTTTTAATGGCTATCGAAATGACCCATAGTTTTGAATGGTTTTAATCTCGATTAAGTATTCAAACTTATCGTCACCGAATAACATTTCAACACGACGGGTAAAGTATAGCGTATGCAATAAGACATATGTATGTCCATACTTCGTGTAACCGAGTCACGTAACTGCGGTTTTGACATTTGATAATTAAAGTTTCGGACTTAACAGATTGTTCGGTAAACATGTTATCTATATAACAGAAGATTTTACATTTCCTTCATTTTTAACCACGGAAAAAGATTAAAAAATGATTAATGCACGCAAATATTTTCGTTCAAACATTTTTTGACGAAGAAGTTCACACTAGTGTTTGTACTTCCACTGCTATTACTTTTATTATTTTCATCCGCAGTGTACATAGGACACTTACGGTTTTATCGACAAAGCGGCTGATGTTTAGTAATAATAGTTATGCGGGGAGATGTCGTTTGAAGTCCAGTGATGATGTCTATTACAATCTAATAGGACTCGATGATCAAATGTGTATCTGCAAAGTGACGATTATTATTTACTACCCAGCAGGTGAGTGAGCGCAGAGGGGGGGTTAGAATCAAAAGTGTCTTGCCGCGGTATGGAATGGCTGCGAATCCATCCAAACACGCATTGTTGCTGCTGTACATTACGATCCGAATTGCGAAAGAAATCGCAATGAAAATAATATAACATTGAAAGGTCTTCTATTTTTGAATTCTTTTTTTCTTTATCTTTATCATAAATGGACAACATTTCAATACTACAATTGGGTTCAAAACGAGAAGGGATAATGATTAAGAAAATGATGTAAATTTCAATAATGTTGTAATATTATTAACGGTTTTACTGGCGATTTTTCTATCAAGATTTATACTTATTGTTAATAAGACGATTAAAAATTGCTGTCCTTAAAATTGTTATGTTAGTTGTATTCACAGGTCAAAATTTGAAAGTTAAACATTCGAAAAACTTTTCAGAAAAAATACTATTTATTCCGACTTTTGAATATCTTTTCTTATTCGCAAGAAACGCTTTGAAAGTTTCAACATACAAAAATCAATACTTATTTCATATCTGCTTAGTATTTAAAATATGGTTACAATAAAAGATTGTAAACAAATGGACAATACACTGGCGATCGTGGAAACGATCAATTATGCGTGACGTATTACAAAGTACAACCGTGAAAAAATGCACTGGCTAAGTAAAATCTTCGGCACCTCAATGTCACAACGTTTACTCCGTTGTATCAATAGAAAATTATAAAAAGTTTTAGGACAAAATCTAACGTACGATCTCCGTAATACGCTTCACACCGTATCTAAAAACACGGCTAAAAAATTTACGAATTAAATACAAAAAAAAAAAATTTAAGCCGATCCATATTGTTTTTAGTAGTTCAAGCCGTTCGACGTATGATCAGTTTTTCAAGCGCTTTTTAACATAACACATAATAGGCACGCTGTTGTTCCCAACGAAAATGGAAGCTTGTGATTCGAGTGACTATCATCAGTATCATCGGCACCGAACGATT